AGATTTTATGAGGAATAATTATTTTCCATATTAAAAAAACCCCAAACCAACCCAATTAAACACAAAATAACTCCCAAAGTTCTACACAACAGCTATACATGAGAGGACTTCTAGCTGGCACATCACTGTGTCTGGGACAGTGGAGCTCCTACCTAGCACTGCTTTTCTGAAAGAGTTGCTCAAGCACAGGATTGTCATGAAAACACAGGTGAAATAGTGTCACCTGCCTCACCCTGACTCGCAACACGCTGCCAACATGCGCAGTACAGTATGAGAGCTGGTGTGTGAAAGTTAAACCCGAGGACTGCAAGAAGCTGAAGCTCAACAGAAGCCAGAAAATGCGGGTTTTTTGCACAGATCATTTTAGGTCATGTAGGCCAATAATTTTTTGTCTTTTGGCTGACATGTGATCACCAACATGACTCCAAAATATCATTTTACAGTATTTCCTCCAGTTTTTTAACTGAAAGCAATTTCATAGACTGAGAATTCTGCACAGACACATTCAAACACTGTGTTTTCATTGCAACTACAATCAGAAATCTTTACAATTTAAAGGCTACACATGTATGCCACTTTTCCAAACTCCCACTAGTGCTTTGTAAAAAGAAAAGAAGAAAAGAATAACATCGTCTTACTGAAGTTCCCATTAGGTCCCTGTTTCAAATCAAAACCAGTCAAAACAAGTAATACAAACTGGTTTTGCTTTATGGTTTAAAGGCAACTGTAGTTTGCAGAACACTGAAGTTAGGCCTAACAGACACTAATTACAAGAAGGGTAAAAAGTATTTGATAGCTCCTCTCGCACAAATGTCACAAGTAGACAGTAGAAGACATACAAAAATGAGTTGTAGCAAAGAGATTAAAAAAATACCAAAGCATCAACTGTAGAAAACCAACGGTAGCCCACATTTCTCTGAGAATATGGAAGGCTGCAGTAATGAGAAGATGAGGAACAGGCGTTCGGCTTCCTACTAAAATACTCTGCGTAAAACACACACAGTGTCTAAATCAACCAGTGTTGATCATGATTGACATTTGCTCCAGGGTAACGGCTTTTGCCATTGTGTCCCACTCAGAACTAGTAAGTGGTTTTCACCTGAAACAGATACAGATTTAAGACAAGAAACACCTCACTGTAAGCAAAGCTTTAGTGCATGTACTTGAGTTTCAGAAAAAGGATTTGGCATTGACAATCACACAGAATGGCCACAGGCTGAGACAGGAACATATGAAGCTGTGACACCTGTTCCAATTCTGATGGAATCATCAAATAAATAACATATAGAAAAAACTACAAAATGGCAACAAGGAAACAGCACGGGACACTTTGGTATTTTAGAACTAGCACTATTTAACATTGATTAAGACCCAAAAGACTCCAACGTCCACCCTTGTTCTTTGATCAGATATTTATACCATTTTCTGCAATGTTTGGTTTTATCTTTTTTATGAGAGAAAACTCCTACCGTACAAAATATGCCAATATGAGAAACAGTAAACAAAGGGAGACTTGAATCTTATTTTACTATATTCTGGGCTGGCTACGGAGAGAAGACAAATTCTTCCTATTTACTAATAAACTCTACATACCATTTCCGTATTTTTCTACTTCAACATGTCAACCACTGTGCTGTGTACTGTACTATAAAAAGGGAGCATAGAAGTTGAAGACAAATAGGTTATAGAGTACAAACCCTCATTTCTAAAATGACTAAAATGACAATTCTACAAAAGGTACGAATATACAGAACCTTTTAAGGTCCCATGTTTACCATGAACCACGTGAATAATTTAAATTAATTTCCTGGAATATACGCGAAAATCCTTTAAATACTTGATGGCCTGCAAAAGCACACTGCAAAGCTCTTCGGCAGAGAAGCAAGCAAATTCAAATAAAGAAACAGTTTCATGACATTCTCTCTGCGGAGTGGGAGATGAAGTCAAAGTTTTAATGTCCATTGGTTAAAGCAATGAGTCAAAACACACTGCCAAACGTTAAAATACTTGGTCCTTCCCACTAAAGACAGAAAAAAATGTGTGGATTTTTAATTTTCATTAAAAGAAAAACATAGCTTGAGAGATTAGTGATTGTTTGGCAAAGTTTAGTGAAGTTCTCAGTGCTGCCTTACTCTTACAGCATTTCCCCAAACGTGTCATCTGAATCTCTCATCTCACCTATTTTCCAGACATATCTGTATTAAGTTTATTCTAGGTTGCTAAGAAAAAGCCAGGTTTATAGGAGATAAGTAAGTCACTGGGAGTCAGCTGAACCATGGTAACTGCGTACATGCTTTAGTGCATTCATAGATGCAACTGAATTTAAACCTCAAAGAACAAGTTACAATCCGAGTTGCATTATTTAACAGTGAGGATATGCTAAGAGCACACATAGCCAGTTGTGAAAACTCACCTCGAGGGTTGTGGTCTTGACTGTACCCCTGAATCAGCACTGCAGAGCACAGCTGGGGAGGACCAACACGGACCAAAGGTGCCTCTTGCACAGGGACTGTTACTGGGAACTGCTCTCTGTCCTGGTATCAACAACGTTACAGTACTATTGTATATGGTCTATGTTGTGTAGGTTGATAGTTTAGAGCAACATTCTGTCCCCATGCAAGACAAATATTTTGCCAGAACGCCATTTTTGTAACCATCTTTGCAGAAGGGAAATGGTCCAGTGGAGGTAGTAATCAACACCATGAAAAAGGTGTGTTTCAATTACTATTCTCAATTATCATCTTAGTAGGTCCGATTTCAGAAACTGTAATGTTCATTCAATATATCTCAGGATGGTTTTGTTTCAAAATCTTAGTATCATCTTCACAGTAATTATTAAACAACTGCCACTGCAAATACTGTGGCTGGGATACTTTCTCTTGCAATCAGTGTATTTTTACATGGATAAAGCTGCCTTGCAGGTAACTATATGAGGCACAGGCGACAGATGAGAACAATGAGAGGCAGAGAAAATTTTAGGGGAGAAGGAGATTTAAATAAGACTCTCTTGCTCCCTCAGATATACTCATGGACATAGAAGCTATGCAGCTGCTGAATTAAAAGGTTACCCGGCTTTTCAAAAAACGCTCTGACAGTTCTTCTTCCGTGATTTACAATTTTTCAGTTTTCTTACATTTACTTTCTACTAAGTGGAGGTACTGCTTTCATTTCTGCCATTCTGCCCTTATTTTAGCACATTGTTTGCTAACACACCAGGGTCGCTATGGATAACAAAGGTTTCGGAAGTTTTCAGGAGTGACCAGTAGAATAGGACAAATCTGTTTTTCAAAAGAAAGAAGTGGCAACACAACTTTCTTCAATGGAGTTTATATAAAACAGAGCCTTTAAACATGTTTTAGTGGCATCGGAAACCATCTATATTTTGCTGTTTGCATAGGTGGAAGGAATCAGAAAGACTTCCTGGCTTAGAGTTCCAGCTGAACATGGCACTCCAATTCCTCTGTATTTAGAAGACACACTGTTACATTTTTTTCCTGCTTTGTTCCTTCCTTTTTTCTTTTAAACTTTTTAAAAAATTATATATATATATGTCTTTGGTTTATAAGCACATTGGTTCTGTGTGCACATACACGATACTGTTGAACAGTAGGTTGCATAGAGTCTGTTACCCAAGAACCTCGCCTACTTTTGGCACTGCTGTCACAAATCACAGAAAAGTGCCCTGCAAGTTGTATAATCTCTGCATCCCTCATCAAACTTTGATCTAGAGACTGGAAGAAGCGTGTATATAATATTTAAAAAGATGTTTATTTTCAGTGTCACTTTGTCTTCTTTGGGACACATTTTCTAAGTCTTTGATGAAAATGAGTGCAAAAATATTTCACAGACACCCTTGATTTTATTTGTAGAGGTGATGAAATACTGCTGAGCATTCCAAGTTTGCTGCGAATTATGTTAAGTGAATTTTGCTCGAGTTTTCATGCTTTTTAAATAAACTACTTCCAGTAACATACGACATTCTGCCTTCTTCCTCTTCACCCTACCAAGAAAGTGGCAGTAATTATGATACCCAGACTGAACTGCATCTGAGGAAGAAATGACCTTTTCATCTGCTGTTTTTCCCATTACACCCCTGCTCCCAATATAATGAAGGTGCGAGAATAGTTTCAGGAGTGAGGTCTGGAATCACAATGGTGCACTTGAACAAACACCTTTCAACATGGAATCTCTGCAAAAAGCTAAAATCTGTGGAGGTCAAAAATTGCAAGGCACAAAAAAAAAAGTGAGAATGAGTTTATCCTAACTGTTGACACCAATGCTCTTGGGTATTTGCACAATTAATCAAGTCTACTTCTAATGCAATTAACCACCAAACTGAATTTTAAATTAGGTTAAAATAATATCTCACAATTACCACATTTTTTTTCCCCTGAACTGCTAATTGACCACTTCACCTACTATTTAAAATATCAATTCAGTGTTTTAAAACTTTATGTTGGAGGAACAGCCACTGTGATTTGATAGGCAATTTCAAAACCAGCACTTAAAACACAAAGATAGCAAAAATATCTGAAGCAGATCTAGAATCTATAAAGCTATGTTCTATCTTACTGTAAGTAACAAATCAAGCAACTATTACTTATAGCAGACTCGGCAAAAGCAACAGGGATGGACAGAAGAGATCTGAGCATGACGCTCTCCACCAGTGAGAATCCCAAGAGATAAAGTCTGAGAATGGATATTCCCTTTTGTCCAAAAGTTCCCAAAAGAATACAAAATAAATAGTGTTTCAAAGACAGTACAAGTGAAATACTGCTCCCATTGTGTCAGTTACATACACATACAGCATGCCTACGTACACAGAATGTGTGTTGTCTTCATTCACAAACAGGAAACATGGCAGTGCGCTATCAGAATGCTTTGATACTCCTATTTTTTTCTGATGCTGAGATACATGAAGAAACCGCATTCACAACTTAAAATTTACGTCCAGTAGCAAACAGTTCATCCTGTTCATGTCTCACGATTGAACTCAAGGATTAATGCTCCTCTGAGCAAGGTCCACCGGTAAGATACCCGTTTGTCCCATTGGCACCGCTGGTCCCATTGGTGGTGACAGTGCTGTGTGGGGTCTTTGAACGAGGTACTGTTTCTTCCTCATCTGAGCTTGACTCAATGTCACTTCGGGCATCCTTTGCTACCTGCAGAATTTGAAAAAAAGCAGCAAACAGTAGGTGACTGTAAGGAAACAACTGAGATTTTTGGTTCAAGAGAATCAGAGAATTCAAACATTTTTCAATTTGAGCTTTGATGGCGATCTTGGCTCTGCCACACTTCTCTGCCTTTGCCTGCCTGGACTCACTTCAAACACAGACGCCTGTACACACACATGCCACACGCAAAGGCAGGGTGAGAACTTTGCCCTGGTGCACTGAAGGCAGTATGTCCAAGGGAGAACACAGCGCTCAAGGCAAAGGGTTGTGCACAGACTAAAGGAACCAACAATCCAAGCTCCGAAGTTCAACCTAGCCCCAGTCCCTCTGCTCTCCTACTACAATTTTATTTCCTGCGTCTCCTTTGGGGTGCTGCTTCTCTTTGACCTGATAATACAAACTATTCAACTCAGCTTCCTCCCACTCACCTCCTAACTCCTCTAGAGGCCACACGGCTCCAGGGAACAGTGCTGTGGGCTGGCAGGAGGAGGCAGGAGGACTTGTTGAAACGTAACTGACTGCACGAGGTAACTCCAGCCTCTGACTTCAGGCAAGTGGTGTGAATAAGGCTTGGAAACCGTGGACAGAGTCCACTTCAGCCCCTATCACAAGAACCACAAATGTATTAGAGCAGTTCAGCCTCCTGCCCCACTGTGTCACTGGAAGGCTGTTTCAGAAACTGACCTCACTGCTATGGATTTCCTGCTAATTTCCAGCTGACTTCTTTCCTGATAGTTTATACCCATTTACTGTGTCAACTCTGTTCCTTCGGTTAAGAAGTCTGCTCTCCTCCTTTCTAGAGCTCTTTGAAGGTCACAAGTTTGAGACCTGAGTTCTTTCAGAATCCCTGAGGTGACTTTACTTCACCCCATTCAGTCAGGTGCACCAAAAACAAGTGAAAACACGAAGAAGCCAACAATAGGCAGATTAGGAAGAGTAAACAAGTGCGACAGAATAGAAAATCCTGCAAAGAAAAGGCCCTGCCTGCCCTATTTTTAATGGGATTTTCCGAGGGAGGTAACAATGCCACTGCCAATGCGCAGGATCATAGGATCACTCAGGTCAGAAGAGACCTCAGGAAGTCTCTGCCCAGCTTTCTGCTCAAAGTAGGGTCAGCTCTAGAGTCAGGTAAGGCCACCAAGAGCCTTCCAAAACTGGTAAGAGAGTGTCAGATGAAATAAAAAACCCCCCAAATATCAAGAGCAAGAGGTGTGAGTTCTAAGCTGCAGCAGCTTTAAATGTGAAGAGTTCCATTAAAAAAAGACACCTGTTTGTACGGCTGCTTCCTAATTCATTCAGAACCTCTTCACGATGCGCTGGTTGTCACATTGGGCAATTACAGTCGACTTTACTACAGTGAATGGACATAAAGGGGGCAAAACACATGGCAAGTTTGGTTTTTTTCCCAAATAAATCAAAACAATTAAAGAACAGGGTCACTGCACGTAAGTTTTTGCTTACATTGCTCTATTCCAGAAAGCCCTCACAACCGTTCTGCTCTCCAGCTCTCACCTCAGAAACAGCCATTTTGCCTTTGTGGCTCCCAACGTTGCCACTGTCTCTGTAATATCATAACACTTGAGTTACACTATTCTGTCTGGGAACAGAGGAAAAAGAAATATGCAGTTCCCATACACCTCCTAGCAAATAAAGTTTTAATGTCAATGCCTAGCAAGCCCACAATTCCAGCACCTGTGAAACTGCACTTCAGCTGAGCTTAGAGACCTCATTCTGTACTTACAGAGCTTCAGTTAACAGATTACTTCAGTCTCTTATATAAAGGGACTTTTTTATTAAAGCTGTTGGGGATACAGAAATGTACCCAGAATTACACTTTTATCAAAGAAGATTCTAAGCTGCAGTTACTTTTGTTAAACATGTGATCTGCTCTCTTTATTTTTAAAATGGAGCACTTAAAATCTGGTATGAATGCAACACATCTTGTAGGACTTAGTTTGCTTTGTTTCTCACCCAACGAATCCACTGCAGTAATTTCTACAGGAGTCTAGAAATATATATCTAGGTTTATAAAACCCCCAAGCATAACAGAGAGTGAGAAATAAACGATTAGGATTAGCTACAAATTTAATGATAATAAATTGGTTTATCAGCTGAGCTGTTCCAAAGGTGGATACCAGTAATACAAAAAAAACCCCCAGAAAAACTAAGGATGATGATCTACTGTAAGATAACACTGCTTATTTTATTGCAGAAGTGGAAATAATGAGGTTGTGAGTGAGGAAGTGTTAAGATCTGAAGGAATAAGAATCCTCTGTGTCTATGTCATACACGCGCATCTTTAACCTTGTCACTGTCTTACTGTATGTGTCTAGCTCTGCTCACACACAATCTCAATTTTCTCCTGTGCAACTGTTCGAACTACAAGGCAGAGGATTTACACTCTCAAGTATGTTTCCTGAATGGTGACAGAGCAGCTGCTTATCCTGCTGACATATATGTGTAAAAAAGGTTGGAATGTAATAGCACCCAGATACTACAAACAGAAGTGATTTTGAATTGTATTAGGTAATGCATGGCCAAGAACTAAAAATGGCCTTTAAAGACAGACTTCATTTAAATATATAAACACAAGCAATGGATAAAAATACCACACTGAAGCTATAAATTAAAAAACAGACATCAGTATTGTGCAGGAGTGAATCTTCTGTGTAGGAAATTTAAAGGAACTTACATGCAAGGGGTTCCACTTCCCAGCCTTCCAGCACAGCACAGGAGAAAGGATAAACAGGAAGAGTAAGAGAGAGTAGGAAGCAGTCTTTGAAGTCACTGGTGTAATTCAGACAGGCCAGCTGAGGCTAATAAGTGCTAAAAGCAGAGGAGACTCAAGTGTGGCTTCCAGGCAAAATACAGTTTGTGAATGCACCGTCTTTCACACCGAGCGAGTGGCGGATTCTGGGCTCCCTCCAGTGCCAGGCTGAGCTCTCCAGCTCATTCACAGAAAGTGCTTTTCTGCAGAACAATCCCATTCACTGGGAGGGCGGACACCAGCCTAAAACAACTGCTCATGTACTCTACTCTTTGAGGGCAAAATGCCACGTACTTTACATCATCTCTAAGTGTTCTATCAACTATATGTGAGTGCCGTATCTATACAGCAAGGGTAACGGGGCTGGCATTTCTGTGAATTCTATCTTCCGGTAAACTGTAACAACGGCACCAAGACACTACATTTTACTCCAATTTGTCTTGCTGTGAGAATCCTAGAAATAAGGTATATAACCCTTTGCAGGACTTCATTAACACCAAAACCCAAAAGTGGCTGTGATTTGTAACTAGCAAAGGCTGCAGAATTTCAATTTGTATTATTATTATCACTACTTCTGGGATATGAACACTTTGCTAAAAACTACTATAAAGAGGAAAACCTGACCTGGTAGCCTCAAGAAAGCACTTTACTTGTTTGGGTTGTTTTTTTTTTAAAAAAAATCCAGCTTCCTTAATGTAGCTTGGTTTAGTGTACCAGATTATAAAAAAACAAGAAGTGTGGAAGAACATATAAATACAACCACTATAAAGAGTGACTTAATCAACATTTGTCAGGAATGTAAAATAGTTTCCATGAGAGGGAAGAAGAATTTACATAAAACATGTCTTCAGTAGAAAGACAAAGCAACCGAGAAAAAGTTAAAAGTTAAAATCCTAAACATAAGACAGAACCATGCTCTTACCTTGCCCTTTGAAATAGCTTTGTAGGCTGCTTTTATGATTAGGTAGGACCAAAAACAGTGCAGAATTTGAAGAATCACAAGCAGCACGTTGAAGACCCATAAGGCAGGAAAATTGCCAAGAGCTTCATACAGTTCAAACAATGTTGTGTTTAATATCCTAGAAGAGAAAGGAACAGAAAACCAGTAACATTATCTTTAAGCCAATAATCTAGAAGAAGCTGTTTTTAAAGGAAGATGACCAGTACTTGATTAGATGGTATCCACATAGATAGCTGTAATAGAGTAATAGTGACTTGGACCAAATCACACAGGTGTCTCAAGAGAGAAACAACATCAAAATCTGTTTTCAGTGTTTAACTCCATTTTGCAAACGTTGCATACAGAAAACAAAGACCCTCAGTGTGCATTATTTCTTTTATAAAGCTGGCAAGTGTTGGTTGTCTCTCCAATAACTCCATCCCTGATTAATAACAAGACTACTTTATTCCTTTTCTTTTTTAAATAAAGCTTTTCCACCTCAAGTGCCTTTAGTAGGAGTAAGAGCCCATATGAGGACACCTATACTACAGTGCAATCCACATGCGGTACCACAGTCTTCAAACCATGTTCCCAGGCTGTGACAGTGAGATGCAAGCTCTCCCATGTGAGACAACACGTACCAGGAGTTGGGCAACACTCCCCAGGTGCTGCCGTTTGAAGCTCTCTCTCCCAAACCCATTCTCAAAGCTGATGGGTTTGTTCCAGTGTACACAGCAATGGAAATCTTCGCCCTCTTGGTACCAGTGACGCGAGTGATGTGCTATGTGAACTGAAAACATTCTGAGACCATTCAGTTAATGCAAAACACACAGCAGCACTCACCTAAAGGAGGTCAGGGGGGCTTTGGTTGAGTGTCCCAATATAAACTTGTATTTAGTGGAAACCTCAGCACCAACAGGAAACCAAAGTCAAATTAATCAACCAGTCAAGGGGCTCAGCCCTGGGTTTTGAACACCCTGGGTGCCTGCACTGACCACTAAGGTACTGGGTAGCTCTGGTGGGCACCACTTGCACAAAATCCAATTTGCACATCACTTTTGTAGAAGCAAGAGTGAGGTTTAGCAGTTACATAAAGGGCAGGCAGACACCAGTGGTACGTGGGGGAGGAAAGAGGTGGAAGATTGTGGCCTTTCAATATGTGTAAGAAAGACAGGGACAAGCCTTTTATTAAGGATTACTGCAATAGGACAAAGAGTAATGGCTTTAAACTAAAAGATGGTAGATTTTGATTAGAAAGGAAGAAATTTTTTACGATGAGGGTGATGAAACACTGAAAGAGGTGGTAGAAGCACCAACCCTGGAAACATGCAAGGTCAGGCTGGACAGGGCTCTGAGCAACTTGATTTAGCTGAAGATGTCCCTACTCACTGAAAGCAGGGTTGGATTAGACGACCTTTAAAGAGACCTTTCAATCCAAACCATTCTACAATTCTATGGAATTTGGGCAGTGGTAGACATTTGAACCAAGTTTTTGAGAATCAACACTTCAGATGCAGGCAGTAACAGATACAATACGACTGCTGAAGCTTTGTGAATACAGTACCAAATACTCTGCCATAGCAGATTATTTCAATCTGGACCTCAGTAAACTGTTTTGAGAGCAGAGAGTGGCAACAGACAGTAGAAACAACAGCATTTCTGGAAACAAATAATGATCTGTGAATGCCTGTTAATTAGAGGATGAAAAAAGAAGGGAATGTAAGGATTTTTCAACCTCCATGCAGGTGTAAAAATTAATTAAAAAGTCCATTGGCTTTATTTATTTATTTTTTAATTAGCTATGACCCACCAGCCACTAGATGGCACGTGTGACTAAGGAAACAGCTGCACAGCTCTTGGGCCGCTCCAGCTTTGAGGGCAGCTAGAACCCAGAACCTGTAAGGGTTTCACAACAACACAGCTCTCATGGGGAAACTTAGAGATACTGGACTCAGCTTTTTAATAAGCAATTGCATTTGCCACAATCCTTTCCAACTACATAAAAATCAGCTCAAGTAGTATTAATAAGAAGCATGTACAGACAACAAACCCAGAATAGAACATTTAGTGGTAATGGTTTATGTGTTAATAGCACTGGTCAAAAATCAACCAGTGTTTTCTAATACATTAGCCTTAATGTTGTAGGGCATTCATAATAAATTTTATACTGTTTTATTTTGCCTTCTTATGCTAAACTGCACATTTGCCTCTGAATTTATTAAGAAGGCACATTTGCCTCATAATTTATTGAGAAGTGGATGTTTTATAACCTTACTATACAGCTCTGTTTTTATACTGTCTTCTGTTTATGGAGCGAACATCAGAGAAAGAAATATGGTTTTCAGTTTGCAAAAACCCTGTCATACTACTGCTTCTGTCAGCTAAAACTCTTCAGTGTCAGCTTTGTGTAATTTTTTTCTGCCAATGGTAGCTCTACATGGCACAGCAATACCCCACTTTATAATTCAGGGAGATGCTCTCATGCATATCAAAACACAGCTGGAGTCAGCACTGTGCTAGTTCACCACAATTTATTTCTGTTCTAACCACTATATCAAACTCAAAGCTGAAATCACTAACTCCTGTACGTGTTGCTTACACCCAACTGGCTTTTTATGTCTGAAATTTTATATGTTCCAGAATTGTAAATGCAGTTTCTATAGGTTTCTGTTTATATTTTCATTCACTGGGCCAAATTCACCTCTAGGGATTTCCCTTTCAGTCAAAAAAGCAGCACTAGAGATGTAGATGGTCTGTTCTTGGAGAAGTCCAAAATATGAGGAAGACAGCAAGGCCAAAAAGAGTGCTTCTGGTTCCAAAAGCAGCTTCACTGTGCAAATGAGTCATCTACTGTGTATTAGATCTTAGACTAAATCAATCATTTCATGTCAAAAGTCTGAAATGGGGCGAATACTCATAAGGTTAATGGGCAGAATACAGAAACTCATAAAGACTGAAGGAAGGAGGGAGGGTGGGTTAGACAGCTTCCTACCAATTCCACTGCTGAAAGGATTCAACAGAAGCACTTTAACCAGCTACACAAATAAGAGGGACTGGAGAAAGCAGCATGAGAATGGATTACACGAAGTAGAAAGCGCCTATAGGATGCACATGCAAATAAATCTTAGGTTCAAATGCTCAGAAAGGCATTCAGGCACTTAAATCTGCAAACATGCTTGCTGGAATTTTTCAAAGCTCTCCAGTAGTTAAACCCCAGCTTTTCATAAAGAATGTGGAACCTTTGATTCTTGGCTATCTGACTTGAAACAGCTGGACTTGATCTCACAGGGAGAAATTACTTTAAGCTGCAAGTGCTCTACCTCTCTGAAAACTCTGGTCAGCATTTCTCAGGTCTCTGCAACTTGAAACAAAATGTTAGCTTCACCTTTTAAAAACAGATTCTGGGCTGTAGCAATTTTTCTGAGGCCTCAAAAGTTTTTGATAGCTGGACAAAACAACACAGTTGAATGTGCATCCCAAGTGGGGTTGTGCACCTGGCCATGTGAAGCTCTCAGTTTAGCATGTTGAATTAAGTAGTGTGTCTGATGAAGGCAAATGAAAACAAATTCACCATTAAGATCCAATTTACTCTTATAAAAATCTGTGACAGGCTTTCAGGAACACTGTCACAGTATCTGAGCCACTGGGAGAGGTAATTCTGTACTTATTGTAGTAACACTGTAATTGAGAACACTCAGAATGTTGGAGAGCAGTGGAGGGGAAAGGGACTTGGGGGTCCTGGTGGACAGCAGGATGGCCATGAGCCAGCACTGTGACCTCGTGGCCAAGAAGGCCAATGGCTTCCTGGGCTGTATTGGAAGGGCTGTGGCTGGCAGGTCGAGAGAGGTTCTCCTTGTCCTCTGCTCTGCCCTGGTGAAGCCTCATCTGGAATATTTTGTCCAGTTCTGCGCCCCTCTGTTCAAGAAGGACAGGGAACTGCTGGAGAGAGTCCAGCGCAGCCACAGGGATGATGGAGGGATGGAACATCTCCCTTATGAGGAAAGGCTGAAGGAGCTGGGGCTCTTTAGTTTGGAGAAGAGGAGGCTGAGAGGTGACCTCATTAATGTTTATAGATATGTAAAAGGTGAGTGTCAGGAGGACGGAGCCAGGCTCTTAGTGATGACCAATAACAGGACACGGGGCAATGGGTGCAAGCTGGAGCATAGGAGGTTCCACAAAAACATTAGAAAAAACTTTTTCACTGTGAGGGTGACAGAGCACTGGAACAGGCTGCCCAGAGAGGTTGTGGGGTCTCCTTCTCTGGAAACCCAGCTGGATGCGTCGCTGTGTGACCTACTCTGGGTGATCCTGCTCTGGCAGAGGGCTTGGACTAGATGATCTTTCGTGTTGCCTTCCAACTCTTAACATTCTGTGAACAAAATTAACTTTCTATCAACAACTACTAAACAATCAGCCGCATCACATCAACAAGAACACAGATTTTTCCTCTACTGTCTAACTCGTTACCCAGCCAGAGAAGCGCTACTTTGGGAGGTAAGGTTACACGTTACACTGTCCCCTGCACTTAGTGGGCCCAAGTCCAGGCTCTTCAGTAACAGTCACTAATTCTTGGCAAGTTGAGGGGGCCGGTTAGCTCAGTCAGTTGAGCGTGGCGCTAACAACGCTGAGCTCACGGGTTCGATTCCCGTTCGGTCCCCATGTGTTGCCTGATCCAGTCGAGAGGGGGCGTCCCTAGTGGCAGGAAGGTTGGATTAAATGATCTCTAAGGTCTCTTCCAGCCTAGGCCATTCTATGATTCTATGATCACTTGTCTTGCACTGGGACGAAGGGAGAAAAGGGAGATGAAGGAAGAGAGATAAAGAAAGAGAGGGATGGGTGGAAGAGTAAAATGCTTGTTTACATTTGTTTGAGAATTGGTAAAAACGTGCTGTGTTTGCTTCTGAAAGGACCCCAACAGGAATAAAAAGAGGTGAGAAAGAAGGCCAGGAAAGAGCAGGCATTCTTCCAGACAGGCAGGAAATTCATGATAAACTCTGCAGAATGTTGCACAGTGGGGTGATGGGCACTTTTATCACATCCAATGGGAGCAAAAACTGTGCGACTAAAGTGGAAGCATCAGCAAGAGCTGAAATGGGTGCTACTGCAGGCTGCCTTCACTTCCACAGCCCTGCCCAGTGA